GATTTGGATAGTATAAAAATAATATCATAGGTTTCTTCTAACTTGATACCATATTAAAAACATTTTTGAGCTTAATCATTTATTTATTTTATATATATTTAAAAGGTACCAGTATTTTTAGAGTAAATACTTTCATCCTTTTTACATTAACTACAACAAACTACATACAAAAAAATTATACCCCCTGCAACAAAATGGTCTTTATCTGTCAGAGTAAAATGGCAAGGCAAGGCAAGGCAACCCTTTGCTTGTTTTAACCACCGCTTCTTCCTCCGCCTTCCTCTTAATTAGCACATGTTGAAAAGGAAATCATTATGCTTGATAAAAATCACAAGTGTTGATTGCTGAAGAACGTCGCCACTGACATGCAACAAGTGCGAGACAGGAAAAGTCGTTGCAGATCCCGTCGACGTGGTCGTTGTCGTTGGCTGGAAGTTGTTGCAACTTTTTCAGATGGCAGTTGGTGGCAACTTTGCACCAGCAGCAGCGGCAGCAGCAGCAGCAGCCGATCTGGTGGAAAAACAGACGCTAAAATGGGCAAAACATGCGGTGCCAGAGGAGCGACTAAAAGTTCGTCTATGTATCTGTCAGATACATTATGTACCCATGTGCCTATCTTTGGCCAGAGAGTGTCGCTGCTTTTGCTTTTGCTGCTCTTGCCGTTGCAGTGGCAGTTGCTGCGGTTGCTGCTGGTTGCAAGTGCAAAAGAAAATATTTTTTAACGCTTCGGGCCGCGTACAGCAAACTAGAAAATGTTTCTGCCGCTGCTGGCAAAAGCCGCGCGTTGCATTCATGCGCGTAATCAAATTGTAATCACGGCTTCGACTGCTGCATGTTGCAGCAGGGAGCAGCAAGAGCAACGGCAACAGCAGCAGCAGCAACAGTCGCAGCAACAACTGCTGCTGCCTCCTCCCGTTGACGTTGTTGTTAAGTGGAAATACTTGTTGCACAAATGCAATGCATGCTGCTCTTGCTGCTGCTGCTGCTGCTGTGTATCTGCATCTGTTGCCCGCATACAGTGGCTATTAACTAAGTGCAACGGTAACAAACTATAATGTTTTATAATTTTTATAAACGCTAAACCAACCTCAAGTAAGTTTTAAGAAAGAAAAGCCTTTTAATTTTTCTATTTATGAGTTAAAAGTAATATTTAAGCTTACCTAAAATATTTATTTATAACAAACTCCAAAAGTATAACCATACCATATAAAATTTAATCGAAAGTAATATAAATCTTTGAGTTTTCACAACATAAACATAAACAACTTTAAATAACTATTCGCAATTTCAATTTTTAAACTATATACTTTAACTGAAGACAACAGCAATGTCATAATTAATCTTTTGCTTTCTTTATATGGCATTTAAATACTTAAATAAATGGAAATGGGTGTTGATATCGTTTTAGTGGCAATTATCACTGTAGGTGCAGCCGCAGCAGCAAACGGCAATTGCATCTGCATTCTTTCCACTTTTCTTGCTGCTGCTGCTGTTGCTGCCGCTGTTGCTGCTGCTGCTGCTGCTGCATTGCCTTGTGCAATTTATTAAATGAAAAATGCCGTTTTGCAGCTTTCCAAGTTGCTATACATGTACAGAGCTACGGAGCAGCTATATAAATTTATATATATATAAAGGAGTATATATCTAGATACATGTGCTGGCAGCTTTTGCTGCGAAAAGCCAAATTGAATTTTATGCAAATTTGTTTCTTAGTTTGCTTTGACTTGGATGGAAATCGCCACATCTAATGCATAATGCCAGCCAGCTAACACACGCATGCAACACACACGCCTCTCCCCTATTTGCCTTCTTTATGCAATTGGTCGATCGATCCAACGATCCATCGCTCCAATCACTCCAACCGCTCGATTATTCGTTCTCGAATCAAAATGCCACAGGTGGAATTAGAACGCTCCACAATCTGGTTAAGAGCTGACTACACAGAGAACAAATATCTTCAAAGATCTCTAGACTTTAGATTCAGTTTCCACTAAAGAATATAGATTTTTTAACCTTATTTCTCTGTGTATCTCTTCCTTATATTTTTTATTATAATTTTCTTTCGCTACCGATCTCGGATGCAGATACTTCAGTATCGGCCCCCGCCGCTGGCGCCACTCTGTCCGACTTATGACAGCAATCGTTAAGCGCTTTCGCTAGGCCTTTTTGGCGGCGATTTGAGTTTATGTAAAACAAACGAGTTCGAGTTCGAGTTTGAGTTCGAGTCACTAACTCTATCCCCCAAACTAGTAGCTATATTTTTTTTGCTTTAAGCTTTTCGATTATTTTATTTTTGGTGGCCGGCTGTGAATAGATCGAGAAACTGTCACCAAACACGTTTCTGTGTCTAAGCCACACAAAAAATAAAGCAAAACAATCAAAAAAACGCACACAAAAATATTCCACTGTGTTGCCGCCTTGTTTGTGGCTAAACAATTGGCCAAAAAACTGAGAAAATCAAGAAGAAGATAGCGGCGAAAAAATGCCAAATCGCATGGCCAAGTCAAGTCGTTGTTAACTTTTGTTTATACAAAAAAAGAAACAGGGAAAAGAGAGGGCAACCAACGAAAAAAATCACAAAAAAATACCACCCGTTGTCGAAATGCTGTACAAACAAGTGAAACATTTATTAAGTCCAATACGATGTACAATGGAAATTCCATGACATTTGTCATCGCATCGGAATCCTTAAAGGGGAAATAAATAACTTTGAGACATGAAAGTCATTGGGTTTAACAAAGTGATACATAGTGTAACAAAATGGAAATACAGCGAAAGTTATCTTACTTATTGAGCAAACATTTAAACATTTATACATGCAAAACATTCTATGCCTAAATTTAGCCCAACGAAAAGCCTTAGAAAATGTGTGCTATATAGCCCAGCCCAAGCAATTTATCGGTCGAATTTCAAGGGTATCGGCAATTCGACCTTGCATACCGCGTATATTGGAATAGATATTTATTTTTCTATGATTTTCTGTTGGCCATTTTGTGCTCGAAACGTGGCGAGGCCTTTAAAGGCCGCCCGAGGCCTGGCTCGCTTCGCTTTATTGTAGAAATTTATTTATGGTTTATTGGAATTTTTGCGCGCTACCGGCAGCAATTTTTAAAATTCAATAGCAGCGTCGGCGATCGATCAATGGACATTGAGAGCGGTATACACGACGTATGTATGACGAAAAGCGTAAATAATTTTCGGTTAAATGCGAAGAGACTTGCAAAATTCCAATAAAGGGTGGAGGAAGCGAGCAACTTGAAATATTTCAGTTTGCTCAATGATGGTGAAATCTATATTGAAATTGTTGAATTTAAATTGGGGAATGTGAGTTGAATCGTTATCGTTTGCATCCCCTAACTAATTTATAGGGAAAATACATGGTCATAAAGATCTCTTAGCGAAAGATCTTTTACATTTTAAAGGCTCTTATCCCCTGGATAACCCTGAAACGAGAACGCAGATACAAACAAGATCGCCACTTTTGCTGTGCATTCTAAAGGAACATTCCTGCGACATGTGTGCATATACAGAATCCACTTGATGCATAACCCTAACAAATGCGCAGATGTTTCGTTTCATTTTCACTGGCAAACGGAGAATGGGAAAGAAATACTGAAATTCCACAACGCTCGAAACGGTTCGGCTTTTAATTCAGTGAAACATTTTGAACAATGTCCATGCAATTTGAAACAAACAAAGGGAATGTTTGTGTTAATTGAAAGCGTGAAGCTCACACAGCCTCACACCAAATAAAATAAAAAGAAACATACACACAATTAGTGCTTAAAAAGAATAGAGGAAAATCATAAGAACTGAAACAAACTTATTTTTTGAGCTACTATACTCAAGTAATTACATCTATAAGCATAATTTAATTTACATAATTTATAGGATGCTAATAAGAATGCCTTAAAAGCAGTGAGAACCGCACAAAAAAGAGTATAAATTGATAGAGAAGGCGAAGAATTTCAGAAATCAATTATTTCGAAACTGCAAAAATTCCTACGAACATTTTGCAATTGTTTATGGGTAAGGCGAGAGAGAGAGAGAGAGGGAGCGAGCTAGAGACAAGACCAAAAAAAATGTGAGCGAGCGGCAAACTAAAATGTATCTATGAGATACATGGCCTGATGTGGTATCTCGGGCACGCTCTCTCTATCTCTCTCTCCACCGCCGCTCTCTTGCACTCATTACGTATGAGTTTGTTGGTTTTTGTTTTTGCAGATCATTCCACCGAGCTTTATTTAACTTTTACTCTCCCCCGCTCTCCGTTTCTCCACCTCTCTCTCTCTCTCGCTCGCGTTTCCTGCCTTTTTTCGCCTTTAGTTTACAATTCATTTTTTGTTTGTTGCCACTCTCCTCAGCTCAGTTCACTTATATTTGGAGTCTTAATCATCGCATCGGAATGTTTACTTGAAGTCTTTTCCCCTCCTCGCCTGGTTCCGTTTTGTTTTGCCCGTTCGCCTTGTTTAAAATATGTAATTTATTTTGCCGCTGCTTCTTGACTCTCGATCGCATTCCTTTCCTCACACACACACACACACACACACACACACATGCGCAAACGCACTCGCTGACTCGCCACACAAACACAGCTGCAGCACGCACCTTTTTCTTTCCGGTTCGGAATCGGAATTTATATGGGTTTTTTTTTCAGTCCACCGCTCTTGTTTTTGTTTTTGTTTACTGAAGCTTCCTGATTAAGCGAGCGGCTGCTCTCTCACCTGATCCCGGGTACCCTTTTGCGTTTCATGTCCAATATTTACTTATTAAGGAAAACAAAGGGGGTTTAAGTACTCGAGGGGATTGAAATATGTATGTACATACTATCTAGGAATTATCTGTTTTTTTTTTAAATAATTAATTTTATAAAACTGGGGAAAATTAATATAATAATAATGGTTCTTATAAGAAAATTATGTATCTTAACAGGCTCCAAGGAGCGTTTCATTTTCTTTAAATTATTTTATTTTAGATCTTTTTCCCCTTAATACACTTACCAATCTCTGGGATCCAACCAGGTGGTCTTTTTGTTGATATGATCTATGTAGTAGGTCTTGCCGTCAAAATCCTTGGCTATATCCCAGCCATCGGGCAGCGGAAAGTCGCTGTGGTGTTGCTGATGGTGTTGATGTTGGTGTTGTTGTTGGTGCTGTTGGTGGTGCTGCTGCTGGGGCCTCAGGTGATGGGGATGCAGGTGATGCTGCGATTGCGACGCTGTCTGTTGTAGATTCGGCATTTTCGTAGTATTTTCTCCCGGTTTGCTTTAAGTGGAGTCTGAGAAAACCTCGATTTTATTTTTTTTCACCCGACGACGCGCGCTTTTTCTTTTTTTCTCTGCTTCTGCCGTTTTTTCGGGGGGTTTCTCTTTGCGCTGTTTACATTAGCAAAGACATTTCTTTTTATTTCATTCCATTTCTTTCACTCCGCCGATAATGGAGACACACAAATACACACACACGGGCGAACGCGCGCGTGTAAGAGACAGAGAGCGAGCGAGCGGCGCTCTCAATTATTTATTTTTTTCGTAACTGCATTCCATTCCAGCACAATCGCACACACATACACTCATACACACACGCGATCACTGCTCACAGTTGCTGTTGTTGCTGCTTGCTTCTTTCCATTTCGTTCACTCGCACTGTTGTTGTTGTTGTTGTGTTTTGTTGCTGTTGTAATCCTTTTCTTTTGCCTAATTGAAACTAATTAACTTAGAATTTAACGGCAACGGATCGTATTTTTCCTTTTCGCGATCTTGGTTCACAAAAAAATATGATACTTGATTTTCCGAGTTATTTGAGCCATTTCCTATTGGTGCCTCGAATTTTTCGTCGAAAATCAAAAGAGTATTTTCCGTTTTCCGCGGCCGAGCGGTACGACGTGAACTTATGAACTAGTGCTGGCAAAACATCAGAAACGTAAGCTCAATCTCTCTGCGTCCAACTGGTAAGAGCTGACAGTTTAGCTTAATTCCAGCTATATCTGGCGTATTTGAATATGGAAAAGCTTTTGAAGTTTGCAACTAGCTTATAGCTATTTTCTGTTCCGTTTTTATCGTTTTATTTTGAAATTTTGGGGAAACAACCGGAAAATTTTTAGGACGCGAGCACAACAAATCAACTCAAGTTGTATTCCAAAGAAACAAATATCCCAATAACACAAATGTATCTATCGGACTAGTGTTGGCAAAACATTGGAGTGCTATCGATTTGTGATGACAAAACGTCAGAGCAGTAAATATCGATACTATCGATGTTTGGATATTGTTTTCAAAATATGGGGTAGAATTTACATATATGGGGTCAAATTCTCATGTAGGAAGTAAAATGTATTAACAGATGGGAGAAGGAAATAGCTAGGTGAATCAACTTTAAGTGTGTATGTTTAGGGACTGGTGTAATTATTCAGTGAGGGTTTTAACAATCAATTTTAATCAGATCAATTAATTTTCGGGGAAAATAAACTCATTTTTAAATAGCCAAATACAGTCTTCAGTGATTGAAAAGTAGCCCAAAAATGGATAAGTTGGTGGCACTTCGTTCGACGTTGTTCCAGTCAAATAAAATCCCTCTCTTTCTCTCTGGTCTGGTAACGCTGGCTTTAGATTCAAAAGTCTGGCAGCAGTGGTCACCAATTTAAAATTTAGTTCATTTTCGCATTGCACCGTTATAAATCAGAAATATGCTTGTAATAAAAAAGATTATATATTTTTAATTATATAATACTTCTATAAATGGAAAACAATTTTATTGTATTGGTGTTTAAAAGATTTTTCTTTTAAATTAGTCTCCACATGCTCCAAACGCTTTCAATTGGTAAGACGTTTTTAACTTTTACTGCTTGATGCGTTACCGATGCAGTGGTTTTAAGAAATAACTTTAAAACGACAAGTTTTACTTTTCCGATTACAAATGTACTGTTCGTCATCATTAAAAATGTAAGGAGCTCTAAAAAGTCAAATTAGCATATTTATTTAAATTTTTTATGGCTATTGGGTAAAATTGTTAGATGTCAGCAGAACAATGTTCTCCAATCACTGATGGATTTCTTACGATAGTAAGAAAACAGAAAAGGTCACAACATGAAAAGATTAAAAAAAATTTCCACGCACCCATTGAAAATGCAATCCATCTTGTTTTGTACTTTATATTTTGTATTTGCAATTTAAAGTATTTTGTAAAAATCGAGTCAACAAGACTAACACAGCTTCAGCTCAAGACACATGCAATTCCATAGAGATTTCTTTATATTAAAATGAAATGAAAATTTAGAAGACAACGTTAGCAAAATGTAATCCATTCCATATCATACATACTTCCGCTCGATCCGTGTGAGGGTGAAGCCAACTCTTTGGATAGACTAACACGAAACCCTAACTAATTGGTAAATTACACATAAATTAATCATATCGGTCAACAACTACAACTAAATATTAGTTAATAGCGGATAAAGAGTGCCCAAAAGCTATGTACACTAGGCTAGAGTCTACTAGAGTCCCGGTTCCGCATCCTAATCCTCATCCTCATCCCTATCCGCTTTCATTTCCGTTTCCGCTTCGCTTAAGGGATAATTTATATCTCCGGAGCACTGCAACCATTATTCAGACGGTACTCGGCATAGACCAGGCCAGTGTTGTGCCAGTGGTAGAAGGCGGCCACGATGATCAGATGCCACCAGTTGTGCGAGTGTCCCACAAAGTCCACCTTGCCGGTGAACCAGCGCTCGGGGATCTTGGCCGCGTAGAAGACGAACGCGATGAGGCAGAGCAAGTACATGACCACGATGCGGGGCACCATGAGCTGGAAATGAAGGGGAAAGCATAATAAGTATTTTATTATATATTAACACTATTAATCCAACTCACCCTGACTAGCTCGTTCTCCAGACCACCCATCGCCACCGCCCAGTGACCGAGCGGGATGATGCCATAGGCGGACCACAGCAGCAGCACCGCCACCTTGCCATTCATCGATACATTAAGCCGTGGTATCTGGACGGCAATGGCCAGGGCGAACATGCCCAGCGCAATCGTGGAGTACAGGGTACGGAGGAAGGTGTGACACCAAAAGGCATAGTACATGCCGCTTATGTAGATGGCCACCAGAGAGAGCGAGATGCCCAGGAAGTCGACGGACAAGAAGAGCTCATAGTGCTCCTCCGACTTGCAGGAGAAGATGTGGTAGATGGCCGACATCAGCATGCAGAGACAGAAGCAGACCAGCAGGCAGACGACCAGCACTTGGTCGCTCAGCGAGGCATGGATCCGGAGGAATTGCAGGTCGATGATCGTCAGCCCGATGAACAGAATGCAGCCGGCCAAATGGCTCCAGATATTGATCTGTCCAACAAGGGTTTATTTAGAAGTGATTTTTTGATAAACCTACATTTACTCACCGTCTCATTGGTCCACCAGAAAATGCTCTGCAGGCACAACTTGTTGGATAGGAATGTGCGGTAGCCGCGGCGGATGTACGGATTGAACTTCAAATGGCTGGGAGCCTACAACCAAAAAAAGCAACAAAAAAACACAATTGAATAAACATTCAAAATAAATCCATTTTAGTGTGGTCCGAAATCCAATAAGACATGCAAATTGAGCAAATCAGCATTGAGAATAAAGCCAAAGGGTACAACGGCGACGGAATAAAATAGGAAATGCCAAAAACAAATGGAGGAAACCTTTCTGCTTTTTCGTCTGGCATCAATCCCAATAAAAAGCGAAAAAAGCTTTTCATTTGCTTCAATTTAAAATACATAGAACTAATTAATTCGATTGATTTAGTTACAGATCGTGTTTATATTTGCTTTAAAATTTAAAACAGAAAAGTAAATATATTGTAAATATTGTACTAAAATAATGAATAACCGTTTTGTAAATGTTAGCCTTTACTTCATAAGCTGAAGGTTTTGAAGACTTACAATAATCAACTTTTTGTAACTGTATAACTGCCATGTTTATCATTTGATTAGATTCATATTTAATGAGCATGTATACGAATATGTATCTATGACATATATATTTACTTTATAACGAATTATAACATTTATATATGTATGTATTTGATTGACTTTTGGGCATGATACTCGGCATGAAACAAGCTTTTTTGATTATAAAAGATACGAATTTTGAACAACAAAATTTATTTATCTTATAATCCCAAATATGTAATGCTTTAGACAGTCATGCCTTAATAAACTCGGTTTATGATGTTAATAAAGTGTATTTTTGCTTTATGGGTCCTAAGATGCCACCTTCTGCCAAATGTACTAGGATTCATAATGACAAGATGCATAACGCCCATATATTTCACTGGTTAAGACGCTGGCACACAAATCAAGCAAGTGCATTTGTGTGCGAACAAATCTAGACTCTAGATCTCTAGGTTTTAAAGTGCTTAAGAAGTACTTTTCAGAAACATTTAAAAAAAAGGTCTGAAGCCAAACCTATTTCCATTACATACAAAATCGAGTGAAAAAATCATATGGCGTTACTCATATTGGTATTATATGATCTTTAATTGTACCCTAATAAGTTTACCGAATATAAAAACTGAACTTTAAGTATAACTTGTAATTAAGAAACCGAAATGTTCATACAGCAATCATATTTATCTTGGCGTTCCAAAAGCAATCTTTATTCGGAAGCAGTTATTATTATAAGCCCAGTTTAAATCTGGTTTCAAATTACTCGGCAACTCGGCAACCGAAATAAAATCCATTGAGAGCTTTTTCCGCAGCAGGGAACTAAATCACTGTTTGTACACTGAACTGGTTCGAAATTTCCCAGTAATTGAACTCAATACGATCCGCTTCAATTTCAAACAAAAGCAAAATTCGGGAGCGTTACCTTGGGGCTTTTCTACAGACATGTAAACTGAACAGTAGCTTCTTTTTATTTTGCCTTTACTATTCAAATATTTAATGCTACCCGTTGAGCTTTTTTTGTATTTTTCGTTTGTTTGCTGGGCTGGCCGACCTTGATTCAGTTGGCATTTGTTTTGGTTTGTCTAATTGTATTATTTTGCAATTGCTGCCAACTCGACCGCCATGGCGGATTTCACATATTTCGGCGTTTTAACCATTTATTTACAAGCAGTGATCGTGAATTAGTTGAGCACATAAGCGATAACAATATAACTCAAGTTAACCTTACGATAAAAGCACGTTTTGATTTAGTTTCTCTTTTGAATTGAGTAAATAAATTATAAACAAAAATCATACAAATATTGTACAAAATAAATGTAAATACTTGAAATTTATAAGCTTATACAAAAACAATGAAATTTATAAGGCAGAATCAGAAAATAATAATAAAGTCACTACTTAATTCTGTTGTAATTTAATAAACAAGTAATTTTTTAACAGTTTTTATATCCAAAATTTAAATAAATAGCGTACGAAATGAATGAAAATATATTTCAAGATAAATAGGCGCGAAAACAAAAATTTACAAAATTTATAATAAATAAATAAACAATTATAAGCAGCATATTTAACAGAATAAATATACTACATATTTAAAAGCAATTGAAAATGAATTTAAAGAAAAGAAAGAGAGGATTAAACAAAAATTTAAAAAAAAAGATCTGCTAACTATTGATTAGAAAACTTAGTAATTGTTTGAAATATTGAACTATTATTGAATATAGAATTCATATTTCTTAAAGCTTCACACGAAATTAATAAAAACTATGGAGTTTAATTTCTATTAAACACCTTAAACAACGTGTTAATATAATTTAAATATAACAATAAAATGTGTATTTTTTTCTGTAAGCTTTGAACCCGCATTTGTCCCTGATTGTTGGTGCTTTGTGTTTTTTTTTTTTTTTTTGTCAATTCGCCAAATACAATTTGCGATCAATTAAAATTCAGTGTGCGACAATTGATGCCAAATTTGCTGACCCCCATGACTGGCACTTGGCTCCGGTGGTTAACTCACATCATCGAAATTGCAGAGCCATTTGAATTTGGACAACTTCTCGTCATAGTTGGGTCCATGCCCCAGAATATTGGGCTCCTCGTTGGACGGAAATTGATGCGCTGCGTCCGTGGCGGTGTCCGCAACCAGTTGGCCATCGATCTGTTGAGAAGCAAAATTAGAGAAAAGGTTAAATAATAATATTAAATGCCATCGATTAGTAGTAGCTGCCGCAATGGTTCAAAACTAATTTGAATTGAGGACGAGCACAAAGATACACATATTATTATATACTCTTTAGAGATTCTTCCGCCTTATAGACAGACGTTGGCAACTGGCCGGTTTCTCTTCTATATATACAAAACGATATGTATATTTTTAGCCAACTTGCAGTTTGAAAGAGAAAAATTGATTTGTCTGCTTGATTTTATTATTATCTTTTCTTGTTGATCTTCCTGGCTATTTCAGTTTATTATTGTTGTTGTTGTTGTTATTTTGCTTTGGTGTAAGTTTTCTGTTTATGAGAAAACAAGCGAGCATGACAAAAATGCAATAATAATAAACTAATAGCCGCATAAACAAATAACCATAGCAACAACAAACAGCAATAACAACTGCAAAGGGGGCTTGACTATAATTTGTTTATCCAGCTTCGAATTCTAATGCATAACAACAACAACACCAACAATTACACCAACATCAACAACAGTTTGTGGTGGGAGTGAGTGCAAGTGCAAGTGCAAGTGTCTCTATTCAATTCAATTTTCTATGACGTTTTGTTTACAATTTGAGCCATACGAATATTTTCTCTAGATTTTTTTTCAGTCTTTTATGGCTATTGTATGCACTTGTGCCCCATAGATAGTTCGACTCTATTGTTTAAGTATTTAAAATTATAATCAAGAGAGTGATTTAAGTATAAAAGTAAATAAATCACGTGCCTATTAAAATGTATATATATTTAAATAGAAAATGAATTCCCAAGTTCAAGTCATGTCAAAGTTTAAATGGTTATAAATGCTATTTTTATATTAAGGCTAATTTTTAATAATTCTATTAATGTTTATATGATAAATTTTTCATTGAAATAATAATGACTTTTCTTTAATTACTAAATTTAAGAGACTTTATTCTCTGAACTGTAAAAATGATTGTTTCAAGGTAAAAAGGTAAAACAAACTAAATACAATACATTTCAAATAACAATTTCAATCCTGATAACACTTACTTAACAAATCTACAAATATTTAAATGGTTTACCAAGCATTTAGCTTCCTATTTGTCAATAATTTGTATATTCATTTCACACTTAGAAATGTTTAACCGGAAAAAGATTATACAAAATAAATATAAGCAAAAGGTACTTCATCCAAAATATATATATACAATTTTTAGCAATACAAAAAATACATTTAATGACAATTAAAAAATCGCCTTATACTGATTTTCTAAAGATAAAAAGCACTACTTATATAACAACTGAACTTTGTGCACTAACAAATATTGACGATGCTAATATTCCCGACTTTTAGGAACCCATTTTATTTAGTTAATCTAATGGAATGCCTTCGATAAACAGGATGTGACACCCATTAATTGATGCCATTGACGCAAATAGTTTCCCAATCGCTGTTTTTTGTGTTTAACTTTCGGTTTTCGAGGGTTTTGGAATCCGAGCTTACGTCTTTCTTTTTGCTGCCGCGATTAATGCACTTCAATTCAGTGGTCGTTGTTGTGGTAACAATGGTGGTTTCCATTTTATTAACGAAATTTAACACCAAATCACAATTGTTTAATGTTTAAATGGAATGTTAACTGAAATTATCACTTAATATTTGGATTCTGTTTGTAGTGTTTTCTTTACTCAATTTTCTCACATAAAAATCATGGAATTTATCATGTTTTTATACAAATATTTCACGGCTCCTTGATTGCTTTTTATTTATTTTTTAAATATTTCAACTGAGCGCGAAATTGAAAAACAAAACCGTTGCGCTGGCTAACTGGCTGGCAACTGGCAACTGAAAATCCCCCAAGATCCAATGATTCGAATCGGAAAAAAGCTTTTCGCCCTCGACAAGCTTTCGCAGCAGCCGCACGTTTCGATTGCAGAATGTTTTATTTATTATTTTTTTTGTTGTATTTTTTATTATTTTCGGGAGAGTCCGAAAAGAGCTGAGCAATCTCTTTCAACGAGTAGGCCGATCTTTTGGGCGACAGTTATGCTGAAATTATGCGAAATTTCGTGGCTGATGGGGGGAGCTTTCGCTTCTTGTGCAAGAGAAGGCCTGTTTTTATACCTATTTTTTTCGTTTTGGTCAAGTCAGGTTGATTATCGAGTACACTTGGAGAAATTATGTAAAAATAAAAGAATAAAAATAAAAAGAAATTATGTAAAAATAAATAAATTTTAAATAAAGATTTTATGATATTATTAGTCATTGATATGAAATAGTCATTGACCATTATAAATATCTTTATTTTAAACTCTGTGATATCGTAATTGCTTATTTTTTGTTATATGCTTTATTTTTTATTTATTATTATTATTATTATTTTTTTGTTATTTATTCTATTTTTATTATTTATTTTTCTTTATTTAAAGTTTTTAAATCACGTAATTTTTAAGATGCCGAATTCAGGATTTTATTTATTTATTTATTTTTTTTTTTTTTATTATGAATAAATTGTTCAGTATACGATTATTTTAGTGTTATCTTGCTTTGTGGCAACTTAATTTAATATGTATATTTTAGTATGAACTTATTTTTTTAGAATAGGTTCTATCTCTGAGTAATACCTCTCAACTAATATTCAAAGGAGCATTCCTAAAATGTACATATATATAAGACTTTCGAAGATCAATTAAATTAGTTCCTAAAAAATATATTCTTCTAAGTACAAATATTTAAACATTATTTATTTTTTTAAATTATTTCACCTGTTATTCTTTTGAGTGTATCCATAATTATGACCGATGGATGGACAAGCCCCCATATTATATAAGCCATCGGAGTTGACGATCCATCGCACATTGAGAACCACTTGTAAACAGTAATTGCATAATTCCTAGAGCTCTCGAAGCTTTTCTCCCGAATTCTCATTATTATTTGTTTACGCCAGATCAATAGCAGTAAGCGGATGCGTGATAAAGTTTTTGAAGCTGTTGCGGGAGGCATAAATAAAAAACAGATTCAGAGAGATCTGAAAATCGGAAAAGTGAGCTCATAAAACCAGTTTCTCCCTTCATCGAAGTTCAGGAATTCCGCGTGCCAACTTTCGCAATGACCCCCACACACGCAATGCCGGCCCGTGTGTAAACATAATGCATAACAAGATATCGGTGTGGCAAGCTCTAATCGGTTACAAATAAGCCCAACTTGACCTTGGCTCCATTCGGGCAGATCTGCGTCAGCTAAAGCAATAGCTCAGCCCTGGGGACTGTGGGCGAAATCGCGCACTCTGCCACTTTTCGGTTAAGGTTATCCGTGAGCTCTTGGGTTCCGCTTTTCATTTGACAGCTCTGATTGACTGCAACGACGGAGATGCACGTGCCAGTCGACAGCAGGTGAGAACAGGAGCGGATTAGTCCCAGCTAAGGGTTTATTAGAGAATCAAACTAGAACCAAGTCTGGGTTTATTTGGGTTGCCATAGAAGAGGCTGTTAGTCCTTACATTTCATATAACACATGTACCATAAATACAAGATCTTTGGGTACAAAGGTAGTGGAACACTAGTCAAATAATTCAAACTTCATTCATTTATTAACTGAAAAAAGAAGACCCCTCGGACATTCAATTGACTTACAACATTCACTTCTTAAAGTGACCTTAAATCGATACCGATCTTTAAGTCAATATATCTTTTTTCTTTAATGATGCAGGCGTTAATCCATTGGCAATTTATATAGAATTGTTGTAGAACTATAATATCTTTAACTATTCTTTGTATTGATTTAGAAAATCAGAGTATTGTTTTTAGAGATATAAAAATATAGAAATAAAAGTTTTTAAATAGAACAACTTTTTTAACCTTGTAACTACTTTATTTATTTATTTATTTTTTTTTATAATACTCAAGTAAAATAGAGTACTTAAGTTGATCCAGAAATCATTAGGCTTTTTAAAACCCTTAAAAATATGTTTGAAAGCATGCAATGCCTTTTTTTTTGGTACCGAGTTTAATTCTAATTTTCTGTAGCACTCCCGTATATTTAGAAAATTATTATTTTAATTGAAATCCTTTTTTTATAAAAACTTTCTTTATATTTTAAGAACATAAAAACTCATTGGATGCTCTAGAAGAGATCAAAACACGAATGTTACAGTAACAAAAATGAATTAAAAATATCTCTAAATCCATAAATTGCTAGGATTGAAAAGAAATCATTTTAAATGTGTTTTAAAGTAAAGTATGATTTTTTATAAGGCTGTGAATTAAGTTTTCAATTTTGTTCCTTACAATGTACATATGTATGTACATACGTACAAATGAAAATTGTATAGCGTTATTTTGAATACCTTTTTGTACGCTTTAAGAACCCTAGTGATTACCAAAAGCCAGGTGGCTTCATAAGCAAAATAAACGTATACTTTTTTAAAAGTTTACATTCAGCTTTTCAGTAATTAATAGAACAATAAATATGTATGTATATATATATGTATAAAGAAACTTGCAAATTCCAAAGGGCTTCCTCAACGAGAACTTGCTTGCTTATATAATTTAAATAAATGCATATACATAGGTATGCATTCATTAATATGATTCTTAGGTTCGATCGTAAGCCCTTATATAGGTCAATTAGTAACTTTAGATTCTTAAAACCCGCTCTCACACTTACCCATTTATCTTCTGCTGAATCCTGTCCAGATTTCCTTAGGTAGCAGGTGGAAGACGCAACCGATAGCTCCGATTCGTCGAGGCCCTCCCGGGGACGCGGACTCATGGCGACTTAGGAGCCTGGTGAGGTGGAATTTACAGCTCGATTAGAGATCGTGATAAATATACGTTTTTAGGCGCCAATTGTTAGAGATCTCCCCCTTCCCTACTTCACAGAAGAGTGCGAAAATCAAGGCAAGCTTCCCCAACAAAAGGCAGCTTGAGTGGTGCCAAGAGGGGAGCGTGTTGCCATGTTGGAGCGAACAAAGAAAGCGTGCTTCATTCTCCTTTCCTCTCTCTCTCTCTCTCGCGAAAGCCCCTCTTTCGTGGCTCTTCATTATTGGAGCTGTTTTCGAAGCTCAATCGATTATCACTAAAAGAAACCTTTTCCCAAAAAGGTCTTAAAGCAAACTATTTTTTTTGCTGAACTGATAATTTTTAATGTTATATAAGAAATTTAATAATGAAACCAGTTTTGAATTAAAAATACAAAAAACACATGTAAATAAATCGAAAAAACTATATACTGCATCAGGTTTCTCAAGTTGTTTTGAATGAAAAATGCCATAAATCTCTTTTTAAATTGGCTTTAAGCTGTGAATGTGTATTTTGCAAAGCAAAACTACTCCGATTTCTCTCAGTGTGCCAAGCTAGAGGCATTCATTTCCACGACTGCAATTTTTCGGTTTATGTTTTTTTATAGCACACACATTTCTCTCGCACAGAAGCGTCCCCGTGTTTGCATAACCAAAATTTCTAAAAAGTTTTCCAGGTCAACGGGGGAATCGTAGCTTTCGCACAGCACGTGACCCGCAGTCAATTGCAGTTTTATTAATTAATATTCCCGATCGATCGGTCGTTGGGATAACCTTCAATTGATTTTGATTTACTTTGCTTTTCTGCTCGAATCACAATTTCACTTCGAGAGCTGAAAAGAACTTCTCGCGTACACCTCTCACAACGCGGCAAAAATATCGAATGAATATTGCTTGCACAGAGCCCCAACGAACCCCATTGCCCTGGCGTTGAAAGAGAACGCTCTCATTCGCATTAAAGAGAGCATCTAAGAGACCGAAAGCTCCGCGCGCATGGCTGTTTGTGTTTTAATTGAGTCTTTTGAATTGATTAAATACTAATTTAGAATGCCGTGGACGTTGCCGCCATCGGTGATCTTACACTGCGAGACATCTGCTGAAACACTTCCTGTATATTTGCAATTTAAATTCCATTTGTCATTGCACTCAAGATTAAGTTAAGAGAGGCTTTGAAGGGGAATCTTGAGAGTGGATTTGAACTTTAGGCATTTTTAAAAGCTTACTTACTTAATTTCATGAAAAGTGAACATTTTTAATACAAGCTAGTATATCTTTAAATAATATTTTAAAGAAGAATCTAAATTCAGCTTTTAATTAAGAAATTATTTTCAGAGCTAAGAAAAAAGTATAATCAAGATGAACACTTTTTAAAGAAATTTGTCAAATGGATCATATATTTAAACAAATGCTTTTAAAAGGTGGCCTGAACATTGAGTTAATTATTTTGAACCTCTTTAAAGGCTAACTCTCTTTTTAACTTCTTTAATATGCTACTATTCAAAGTCTAAATGGTTTTATTTATCTTCTCAAAGTTCTGCTTCGTCGAGGTCTGTTTAAGGCTAACCTTCAGTTAAAATCAACAAATTTAGTTCTGTCGATTCGACAAATATTTATTCTGTATGAATGTATTTGCCGGTTATCTATCTAATGGTCCTTGTCAGTTTTACTAATCGAAAAATTATAACTGTGGATTGAAAAGCATAGCAAAAACTCCCATAATTCGTATAACTACGAATATTTATCTTTGATCATGTTGAACAAACTTTAACTCCACAAAGTATTCCGCTAAGTTTCGACTCCACATTGAGAAATTAGATTCTAATAAACTTTATGTACGCTTATTACGACATTGACCTATACTTTCTTAATTCTCACTATAACTTTAAATTAAACTTGATTATTTACCAAAACACATTTTAAACTTTCTATTCGACAAAATTCTCTGGCTGAATGAAAGTGAATTTTAAAGAGCTAAGCAAAATTTAAATAATTTTTATAAGTTTATATATTTTTGAAACGAGGTTGAGGCTTAGCTTTAGTTAAGGTTAAAAAAAATTTAGAAAACAATGACTTTGTAGATACAAAACATTTTTTTTACATAAGCAGAATTCGTCTCTTAATAATTATGACGATTTTCAAGTACTCATTTAACATTTCCATATATCTTATCGTATACTCTTTGGCAAAGGCTTTAACCAAATATCTATGTAAACTGGCACTAAAAATTCATACTTTACCACTTGGCTTTAACGCTTTTTCTTACCTCGACGGCAACAGCCAAGTGCCCTTCGCATTGACCGACTTTACAAACGTTAAAACTCTCGACCTCAGCTGAGAAGCGGCCATTTGAAAGTTTTTTATTGACCTAAGAAAGCTGCTGTCACTTGACATTGTCGTGGCTATTTAAGATAGATATTAACCACAAAAGCTCTGTTCTTAGCGGTCCATTTCAAAGTCCACTTGATGATGTTGGCCAATTAAAAATTGCTGTACACTGGAAATACATACATATGCGCTTATAACGAGCTGTATTGCCTTATAAAAGTTCATCAAGAAACTCTCCAGATCTTTACACCTTTATAATTATTCAAATCATCTAAATAAGCCTTGATTTTGGCAGATTTTAAGGGTTTTTACAGTTCATAAGCACAAATAATAAACAAGCATTACTTGTAATAAAATTGTTCAATAAATATCGGGACAAATACAACAACAATCCAATGTTAGAAATGCTTATACAACAACAATAAAATGATGCATTTTCAAAATGTACTTTTACAATGTCAAATCATAAAGATTTTATATAGAAAACTATAGTCAAGCATTACTTGTAATAACTAAAACTGTTAAGAAAATGTGTGGACAAATACAATTCAAAATTTTCAAACAATATTTATAAATTTGTACAAGGAACCCATAACGCTTTGTATAAAACGTTTTGATACAACAATAAAAGGTAAAGTGAAAAAAGTGCGTTTAAAAAAATTGTTAAACCTCGCTAAGAGCCTCTCGTCAGCAATTACAAAATGATTTCAAGTGACCGAAAGCCTTACCATTCTACACTTATCACTTCACCTCTGAATGTTAAATTGAATTTTTGCAATTTTTATTTTTCCGGTTCATTAAATATAATATAATAATAATAATAATTTTTCCAGCTGATTTTTTATTTGTAGTTTTGTTTTTCTTTGTATTTAAACTTATTATGTGTTGATGCTGTTGTTGGTAGCTGTCTAGCTTTTAATGTTTAATGCTTACATAATTTTCATTCAGTAATTATTATTAAATTATTTCCGTTTATGCTGTTCTGTTTCGGTTCGGTTCAAACACACACATTGTTTCCAGTCCGCCACCAATCCGCCAATTGTTGCTATTGCTATAGCTATAGCTGCTGCTGCGGCTGCTGCTGTTGTTGCTGCTGCTGCTGCTTCGGTCCGCCGGCGGTTGCTATTGCTATTTGCTGGATGCAGTACCGCCCGCTGCTGATGTTGCTACGTCGCTCGAACTTGAGCTGATAGCTGCGGCAGGAGCGTCGGCGGCAACGATGGCGACGGCAGCTGCTGATCTTATTGCTGCTGCAGATGCAGTCACCGATGTTGGTGTTGCGCCTGCGGCTGCTGCTGCTGCTGCTTCGATTGTTGGTGATGATGTGGTTGCTGCTGCAGCAGCTCCTGCTGATATTGTTGTTAATGCCATTAACAATGTTGCCGCGGCGGCGACTGCAGCTCCTCTCCCTCTTCTTTTGCTGACTATTGATGTAAACTATTCTTGTTGATGTTGCTTTTACTGTTTCTGCTGTTGTTGTTGATGTTGTTGTGGTTGCTGTTGCTTTTGCTTTAACTGCTGCTGCTGCTGTTGTTGCTGTTGTTGTTGTTTTTGTTGATGTTGAATTTGCTGATTCTTCTGTTGGACTGTTGCTGCAATCTGGAACGCATCACATAGCATACTTCCTAGTCCACTCTCGTGCCAGCTCATTGTATTTTTCCCGATCAGTTTTATATATTCTGGCAATCTCTGGAACAAGTGGATCGTCTGGATTGGGATCACAGAGTAGAGAGCAAATTGATAATAAAACTGCAAGAGAAAAGTTATATTAGTGATTATTTTAATCAATTTGGTAATAGCTGATTACTTACCTTTTGAAATTGTTAATGCTGGCGACCACTGAGATCTTAAGATATCGAGACAAATCGACCCATTGCTGTTAATGTTTGGATGGTATATGCGCGTTGTAAAAGCCACTTTGGGTGGCTTAAAGGGATAGTCTGTTGGAAAATGTATAGTTAAGAAGAATACACCTCCTTGATAAGGGCTGTCCGGCTAAAAGAAAATAAAAATAACAATTAGTCTAGAAGAAAAATAGGGAAAAGCAACGAATTTCTGTTGAATTTTTTTGTAGATAGCAAGGCAGAGACTGGGTTCAGTTGATGAGCAATACAATTTACAAAAGAAATAGCTACTTTTCTGGTAATGCAGGTCACTGAACCTTTGTTTTAAGGTTTACTAATTTATTAGTCTTAGTATTGTACAAATTAGTTAAATTAAAGGGGTTGTTATTAATATTTTAGTTTTCTTTAATGAATTTCTATTTACTTGGAAAAGATAGATATTAAGAAAAGTAACGTAAGAATAATTTCCTAGAAAAGAAAATCTCTTCTGTTTAAAAAATTGCATATTTATTAACATTTACAACGTTTGTTAACAACCTATTATCAGCAGGTTCATCTATCTGCTTATCAATAATTCGACTAGATTACTATTTACATTATTACAATACTGCGAATCTTTGTTATCTCATCCTATCGTTAATATATTTATAGAAATGATCTACATCAACATCGAACACCAATCTCGCCTCGGACTGCAAAAATAAAACAAACAGAGATTAGTCAAGATTTTCAAGTTAAACAGTTCCAGTTTCACTTTAAATATTCCTCTTACCGGGCCCATTATTGTAGCTTGCCAGTGAAATACTGTAAGAAAAGAGGAATAGATACATTAATCAAACACTTGTGTAAGAACGTATTTAAGATAATGAGTTGAAGGAGCAGAAAGTAAATAAAAAATGCCTGCAATGAAGCGTTTTTCTTTTTTGTTTGCTCTGATTTGCATAGAACTGCCTGTCTGGAGCTGATTAAATGTGGATACAGTAGTTGTACACAATGAATATTATGTATAATTATCGCATTAACAATAAATAAATGGGTTATTTATTTGTTTAATCCTCTTAAGGTTATTTATTTAGTTTCAAGGCTTTTGATATTAAATAAAAGTGGTAAAGAGACGATCTCTTGATATATACAAGTCCATGTGTGTTTCTAGGTATTCACTGTACATACATGTACTTTTGAATGCAGCCAACTTGCTCATGGCTAAATAAATGCAGCACTCTCTCAATGCCCTTGCCCCCTCCTTCTTGCCACTGTCGCATTGCCACGCTCTTTGGCGTTTCCTCCACAGAAGAACAAAAACAAACAATGCCAACAGCCAAAGAGCCTTGGCACCGACAATTGGCAGCGACGTCAGCAGCAGAAAAGCAGCCAAAAGCACCAACAACTGGCTCCCTCCCTTGACACGACAAAAAGCAAGTAAAGAAAAGCTATTTATTCGAGTCGAAGGTACCTAGTACTCATAGGATTGTTGCATAAATGATACATTAAAATGGACTCTAATAGAATATATCTCATGAAAATAGCAAGATTATGACCATTAAATACAATTTTAACATTGGGGAGTTACCCTTACTTTCAACCTATCCCTAAAGAAGTTGGAATTAAATTACAAATTAAAATTTAAAATTTAATTTAATTTAACAGAAGAATATCTTCTGATTTCAAGGGTGTCTTATGTATTCCGTTGTATTCCTTACACTATAAATACATACACAACCTTTATAGTAATAGGTTATTTATAAAAATTGCATATACCTTAGCACTCCTCCCCATAAACAGGGTATTAAAGAGAGCAGTTGGCTCAGAACCATGGCCAAAACAGAGCCGCTGCTACTGTCAATGTCATCCTGGGGAGCTACACGAAAACGATTGGGGAAACCCTCTCGCACACTCTCTGCCTCAATGTGTCTGTCTCTCTGGAGAACACTGAAAACTGAGAACAGAGAACTACTGGGAACTGGGCCTTCGGCCACCAGCTGCTGCCCTGACCATAATTACAAACGAAACCTTCATTTGTCCATTTGCAGTTGGAGTAGTCCGTTTTGAAGGGCAGGGAGAGGAATGCGATGGCATTTTTATTATTTGCCCGAGCTCAGACGAAAGTAATCTCACAGCTGCAGCCATAATCATGGCCACTTAGGACAATAATCAATATATTCTGGGTATAGTTAAGCGATAAATACCCCTTGGGGAGTCAAACGACAAACAAATACTAAAGGATAAATTAATAAATGTAGAAAAGTGTAATTTACACAAATCATATTCATTAGATGATTATTGAAACACATCTAACTAAAGTAAACGTTGAATTAAACAGCATTAAATCCCTTCATGGACTGCTTAGCTCTAAAGCAATCAATCAATTTCTATGCTTTAATCATAGGGCTTCTTTTGTGTCGTGCTACGATTTCAATGGTTTAATCCTCCAGTCCCAAGAGTTGCAAATAAAACCACAACACTGAGAACAAAGTGCCTCGGAGTTGTCACTCCACCACTCTCGAGGAAAATTCGACACCGAAAAGAACACCAACAAAGCCAAAAACAAAACCCCGCCCTTGGCTTTACATTCTTTTGTTTTTCACCGGTTTTCACTGGTAACTTTTCGGTAAGGGTTTGAAAATTGTCGTAGTAGTAACGTTTGGATAATGATAATACATATTTATGTATGAAGAGCCAACACGATAACAACTGCGGATGTTCGTAAAAACGTACACTTATGTACATACATTCGCTTATATACAATTATTAAATATGAGTCCGATTAAATGCTGATAGTAGAAATCGAGTGAAATCGTTCGGTTGCAGTCAATTATCAATAAACGACGATAATTAGCATTATTCACTGCTTTATGGAAACCTGAATGAGTTCAGTTTTCCGCAGAAATACGAGAAAATAACATAAAAGGAAGTATTACCTATATTGTACATTTACTCATATTGAATGTTTTATTTTGTTAATTTTATATGAGATAACATGTTCTTTATGTACAATAATATGTCTTCTATAGTTTCATTCGTGTTTAGCTACATTTACATTCTAATAAATGTACTTTGTTAAATATACGGTATTCGGAGAAAGTTCTCTACTCAACTTGGAAATGTTTCAGGGCTGAAGGGAACCCCTTTAGATAGAAAACATTGTAAATGCAAGATTTCACTTTTCTGTGATGTCATTGAACACGTAATAAAACTGAATAAGATCCAAAAACTGAAACTCTGAAACCAGAATCATGGCGATCAGCTGTTGAAAGACCGTCGCTACCTCGAGGTAAAGAAAAGAATCTCAAATTCTGCAAAAAAAGAACATTGGAATTAGCATAGAAAGAGCAAGAGAAAACTAGCAATACAGAAATGCGAACAAACAAAGTAAAAATAGGTTGCATATATTCTCATACATTGCCTAGTCACGATTGGAAATCTATGACGTGGTATTGAGGAAGTCAATAACGCACTTTATACAGTAAATAAACTAAGATAACATAAATTATTCGTTATTATTTCTTAGTTGTCACTTAAATGTAAGTGATCTCTAATTTTGCATTATTTTGTATATTTCATACGAATATTATTGAACTCTTTCATTATTTTCCTGATTTTTGCAAACATTTCTTTCTTCGTTTGAATGCTATGGTGAAATAATAATACAAAACTCGACTCATAGCTCCGCAACATAAGGCTGACTCATAACAAATCGCCATGATTGGTGTTATATAGCTTCCACTGTACTTACAGTCATCTCCAACTGGTCCGGCTGAACATTGTGCAGGTGGATCTCTGCCCAGATCTTGCAGTTCCTGTAAAACAAAATAAAATTTGTTAGTGATTTAATTTAACACTTTAACATGATAAAGATTGAATCAAGAAGACCTTATACAATTTGGTACGGAAATCATGTCTTTATTAAGGATAGAAAGTGTAGCCATTTCATTAGTGACTCACTCAAGGCTGGCATATTTCGATGATTAACAACACTCTGTTATTAGTTTTTAATTAAGATAAACCAGTTTTACTTTTCTCAGGTATTTAAATTGTTCTAACAGATAGCTTTCTGGGGCAGTAGCAGTAAAGCGAGAAATCAACCCTTATTGACTCTTTCCTATGTTAAAAATCTACATCTATCTTGGAAGTTCAGTATCATCATGGTAAGATAGCTATTCACTCAATAAGAAGTGAACTACGCGGTTTTTTTCTTACCTAAATGACCACTCATAACAGTATGCTTATCAATATTTGGTTCTTTTGTTATATAACCTAAAAGAGGGGGGTTTTTCTTTACGACCAATTAGTAAAACTTCCAAAAACGAGCTCTAAATGGGGGAAAAATAGTCAAAAAACCATGCATTTCACTGCAACCCGTCGGTTCTTTTGTTTTGGTCTGAAACGTACGGGATATCCATTTCCCTGCGTGCTTTGCTCTGTGTGTGCTGCATGCAAATGATGTAAATTTTAAATGCTGAATTTAAAAACAGAAATATGACGAAAAAAAAAACACTTCTATGCGGATATACGACAGTTCGGTTCAGGACAGTGTGTAAAAGACAGAGAGAGCGAGGCGAAGAGACGTGAAAAATCAAGTTCGTTGGCCCGGTCCACAAATGGCGCTGTCTCCCTCTGGTCCACCCCCCGCCCCATCATCCCATCTCTGTTGCACGCACACAGCTGAGCGGCTGATGCTCTCCTCCTTCGCCTCTGCTCCCCCTTGCCCATCTTCAGTTATCACAGCTGCCCCACACAAACACACTCGCACAGGGGAGAGCGAGAATGTGGTGTAAGGTAAACCGGCAAAAACGTAAAATAAAATAAGAGGAACAAATAATGAGATGAGCTGTGAAAGGTGGGCACAAAACAAGAGAGCGGCTCAGGGGTGGAGAGAAAGGCGAAGGAAAGAACAGGGAACATGTTTGCGTGTGCGTGTGTCTGCTTGCGTGTGTCTGCTTGCGTGTGTTCGTAACGGCACCCCAAAATTTGAGTAGAACAACAAAAATAGCCGTCGCGAAAAAAAAACGCCTCTGCCTACTTTCGCCCCATCTCCCTCTTTTGCGCCCACAACGGGAATTGTACCTGTTGAGCGAAAATAAGTTACAAGAAGAAATTGTAACATTTTTTTGTGATGTGTTGGAGTGAGAGACCTTATGACTCATAAAATAAATAAAATAAAAACAAAACCAACGCGCGCACACACACTCACGTCTCAAGAGAGGCTGATCAGCTTTTAAGCCATGTGTGGCTGTGCTGCAGTGTTGCTCTCTCGCTCTTTAACTCTCTCTTTTTTTTGGGCAAATGAGGCCAAGAAAAAACCTTGAAGCGCTTCGCAAAAAGGGGGCGTGTGTGATTTGTTAGTTTCAGTTTAAAGCTCCATCACTAAATGTGACGTTTTTCCACTTCCTGTTTTCTTTTGGCCAGAAATTTAAAAGGTTTATAATAAAGGAAAAACAATGAAAACGAGGAAAACGGATGAAAACTCAATGGCCATGACGCCGCGGTTGGCGTTGGCAGCGCTGTCGCCGCACCGTCGAGACAGTCAGCAGACCCCCACGCACACACACTTACTCGCCACACTTGACATGCATATTCACATTCACACGTAATGTACAAATTCCGCGTTCACCGCTCATTTCGTATGTAAATTATGCTTAATTATAATTTATAACTAATTATTTTGGGGGGCCTCTAGCGGCCGTTCGAGCATTTTGCAACACTAAAACAGCTCTCGCACACACTGAAGCTCTCTTTGGCTCTGCCCCATTGCGAGAAAGAGCCAAAAGGAAGCCACAGCTGTCGCTGGCAAACGAAAGGTGGTGAAGAAAGAGCGAGATGGCAATCGCTGGCAAGCGAAGCGATGGCGAGACTTTGTATTTGCGCGAGTGTGAACGAACGTGTGTGTGTGTGTGTGTGTGTTGGTGGGGGTATGACTATGATAACCGGCTGCAAAGCTGAAGAAAAAAAATCCAATTTTGCCAAGTAAATTTCCGCAAATATAAAATATTACTAAATTTAACTAAGGTTAAAAAGTTCTCAGAGAGTCACTAAGTCTCTAGAGCGCCAGCATTTACAAAAAAGAAAGGGTGTTTCAAATTAAACGGTCAAGGAGAGTATAAAAAAAACATTACTGGACAAGGACAAACGACGCGCAAGCACTTTAAAAATAATTATCGAAGCACGCACACCGCGGGAGTACACACGTATATACATTTATATATGGATGTACATATGTATATATGATGGGCTACACTATTTCTGAATTATCAGCGCAAAAAGTAGGGTTAGGTTAATTTTATACGCTTCTTGCTTTTGCTCTGTTTTATTTTTTGCTGGATCTTTCTGCGGCGCTGGCACACACACAGCCATGCGGCTCTATATATGCCTGTGCCGTGGTGTGCTTGTGTGTGAGAAAGAGCTAGTGTATGGGTGTACAGCGTGTATTGGGTAACAGCGCCCGTAGAGCTTTGAAACTCCGCCGTATAAGTTGCATTAATGCATCCAGGTGCCCGGCACGCACACACAAGCAAGCACCCGTACTTGTACACAAACAATGCACATTTGCATTGCACTTTCGCACACACACACTCACACACGCACACATAATCACGTATAGAAGTAACGGAAACGATGACTGCACCACACGTTGCCTTGCCCACCACACGCACACTTCTTCGCTCGATCCCTTTTCCACCACCGACACCCTCTCTTCAGCCATTTCTCCAAAAAATATCTAATCTCTTTCTAATTAGAAACTTAATAATTAAATGTCAGCTAATCCCACTTTTTGCTGTGCCGTTTTTCACGTTTCGTGTCGTCGTTTCTTTTCGCCTCATTCTTCCTCTGCTCTTTTCGTGTTCCTACGTTTCACATTTCTTGCATAAAATTTTTCTCTCAGCCGAAAAATACGCTGTTCTGTCTGTTCACATTTTTTCTCTATCTTTGCAAGCATTTTCTTGCCAGCGATTTCCGCTCTTTTTTTTTGGTTTTCTTTTTTTTTTTTTAGTGTCGTAGAGCTGCAGAATTTTTTGTTCACATACCTTATTGATTCTTTTTAACGCCATTTTCTGATTGAAATTTGATTTGGGTTGTTGTGTGTGTGTTTGGTTGGTTGGTGGTGGTGTTGGTGTCTCGCGTATTCTTTTGTTCTTCGCACAGAATCGGGGTTTTAAGCTATTTCCTCTGTTCTCCTAGAACCGAAACTAAAACGAAACACAAAACCTGCGTTGCGCCTCAAGAACTTTCGATGCTTAAAATATGGCTCTCTCTCGATTGTGTCCCTTGTCTCGAAATAAAGCAGCACCAGCGCACTGCGAGTATAAACGGCGACCCGACGAAGACTACGGCGATGATTATTTTTTCCCAATCAATGCGGAGCCTTCACAGAGCGCGTGCGAGCAAGCCAACCCTACGAACAGCAAAGTAGTCGAAAAATTCTGGCACGCAGTGAGTGTAACGAAGCGAGATGGCTAGTGTTAGTGTGTCGTGACGGTGTTGCAAAACGGCAGTCCAACAGAGCAGGCCAGCCAGTCAGCACAGCGGTGCGCATATATCCGTTTCGCCAGGCGGCCAGATCGATTTCTTCGGATGTGACAAGAGGGGCAACGTCAAGACCTGAAAAGTTTAATTAGTGTATGCAGATATGTATTAGAGAAGGTACAACTTACGGGAAACGTACATCCACAAGAGATACGAAACCGGCAGCAAGAAAGTGTGTGGTTTTTCTGCTTTTAGGTGCACGAAACGTTGCAATTTGGTGTTGACTGGTAGCACACAATGTGTTGCTGGCTGCCGGAATTATTTACTACGCAATTTTGGTCTTTTGCTGGACTGTGCGCATGAAATTTCCCTGACTGACTACTAAGATGCACGATTGATTTCGAAGCCGTTTCATTTTTGAATTCTAATCCGGAGATCTGGCAGCTCGTACGTATCGAGGGTTTACCAACACTCGGAATGGTAATCGATAACATAATCGGGGGCTTTGGTATTGTTTTTGGTATATTCAGGCATTTGTTGGTATATTCCGGCTATGTTAGCCACGGTCACACTGTCACTGTCTGCAAAATATTTTAAACAAAAAGTGCTTGTTAATTAAGTAATTTACCTAATATAAGTGTGTGTTTTGTCAAATTTTGCGGCTGGCCAAACGACTGTGCAAGTGATTTAATCATTATTCGATCTTTTGTGTGGCCTTCCGAGCGAGTTGCCTACTGCCATCTCCCTCGCACCCCCGCTTTCGGCATCGGGCCTTTTTTGTGTGCATTTTTACACACACACACATTTACGGATATCCAAGAATTTACACATTATATTTTTTGCGCTAAACCAAACCAAAAAATAAGAAAAATGTGCAAGTGCTGATCATTAATATCCGTGGAGCGGTGCCTTCCGCAAAGTTTGTTTTTTTTTTTCGGCAAAAATGGAGGAGGATAGCGCCGCTGCTGTCGCAGGAAAGTGCAGCGAAATTAACCGAAATAACAATTTATAGTAGTGTTTGTAGTCATGCCAACAACAAAGGCAACAACAATAATATTGGCAGTCAGCAAAGAACACGAAGAAGAAGCGGCAATAACACATAAAAATTGCGATACGCCAATGGCGACCCCAACAAAAATAACAACAACAACAATATCGGAATCAACAACACCCGCAACAGCAACAACAACGGGCAGCCAAGAATCTGCAGTTGGCAGCGCAACAACAACAACAAAAACAATCGAGGCGTCGCAGCCAACGCTGCTGCCTCTGCTGGCCTCAGCAGCGGCATGCCACAAGCCGTTGCTCTTCAGCCGCCGCTTCCAGGACAAACGGAACTTTAGCTCTCTGCCGCTCTTCGTCTACGCAACGTCGCCGTCAACGCACGCCCATTCTGCCGACGGCGTGGGCGTGGCCCGGGAGGCAGCCGCATTCAGCAAAAAGGTGAGTGCAGGGGGGCGGGGGTAATGTTGGGAAAGGGGAATCACAGATGCCGCGAATTTTACCGTTGTGATTCTTTTGGAAATCGAATGTCTTTATTATGTCAACTTAGTTCTTCAAATTTAAATGTAATTGTTAAAAAACTGTATATGCCAAGATTATAATTAATAGCTGGGAAAGCCACCAATTTATTACTATCTACCTTGATTTTCTTCATTTAAAATTATTTCTTTTAGCAAGAATTTAAGTAATAGCCAATTTTAACTAATATTTCGTCAGATTTACTGCTAATTTAATATCTTAGTATCGAGCTAGTTTTAGAATTTTTTTTAATAAATAAACAAGAAAGGAAATTAACTTTGGGAAACTGAACTTTATATACCCCTGCAGTTTGGAATTCAATTATAGGATCGTATTGGAAATTGATCATAACTAAGATTACAATTAATTAAATTAATTAAAAGAAATTTTAATATAACATTTTTGTCAACAAATCAAAGTTTAGAAAACTCATAACTAAGAAATAATTTCCATTCGTTTTCTGTTTTGATTTTTATTAGTTAGATTAGATAGTAAATTCGCATACTCAATTTAAAATTGAAGTTGAAATTTTTATCAATATTTTTATTTTAGCGTAATCCCTTATACAATTTTAAAAAATGTATATATTTTTTTCTGTCGGAGATGCCTTAATCAACTCGGCTGTTGATGCTGATATGATCTATAGAGTCGAAAATGACTGCTTCACAGCGTTACAACCCTCTGCCTAAAATTATAATACCTTGCAAGGGCATAAAAAATTAAATGAAAACAAATTTTCTTTTTCGAACAATTTATGATAAAGCCATATTCTGGCGTGATTCTTTTGTGATTCTTTTGGAAATCGAATGTCTTTATTATGTCAACTTAGTTCTTCAAATTTAAATGTAATTGTTAAAAAGCTGTATATGCCAAGATTATAATTAATAGCTGGGAAAGCCACCAATTTATTACTATTTACCTTGATTTTCTTCATTTAAAATTGTTTCTTTTAGCAAGAATTTAAGTAATAGCAAATTTTAACTAATATTTCGTCGGATTTACTGCTAATTTAATATCTAAGTATCGAGCTAGTTTTAGAATTTTTTTTAATAAATAAACAAGAAAGGAAATTAACTTTGGGAAACTGAACTTTATATACCCCTGCAGTTTGGAATTCAATTATAGGATCGTATTGGAAATTGATCATAACTAAGATTACAATTAATTAAATTAATTAAAAGAAATTTTAATATAACATTTTTGTCAACAAATCAAAGTTTAGAAAACTCATAACTTAGAAATAATTTCAATTCGTTTTCTGTTTTGATTTTTATTAGATAGTAAATCTGCATACTCAATTTAAAATTGAAGAGTTGAAATTTTTATCAATATTTGATCATTTAATCGTAATCCCTTGTACATTTTTGAAAAATGTATATTTTTTTTCTGTCGGAGATGCCTAAATCAACTCGGCTGTTGATGCTGATATGATCTATAGAGTCGAAAATGACTGCTTCACAGCGTTACAACCCTCTGCCTAAAATTATAATACCTTGCAAGGGCATAAAAAATTAAATGAAAACAAATTTTCTTTTTCGAACAATTTATGATAAAGCCATATTCTGGCATAAAACATGTTTAAGAAATATTAATTGCTATAACATGGCATAAAATAAAATAAATTGTTGAAAAATGGATACAGCAATATTTTTCTTATATACTATTATATTATACAGTAACCAAAAGGTATATTATTCAAGCTTACCCTGCTTGGTAAATGCAGTTAAATAATAATAAATATTATTAAAAAACTAGGTATACAATGGAAATGTGATATCCATTTCATTCTTTCAAGCGGCACCACTCCCGCTCTTTCCGTTCTGAACATTTCGTAATGGATCACTTCCGCTGCACTTGCGGCTTGAGTCGTGCCATATCTGCATTTGTAATAACCGCCCAATCCATATTTTCACAGTGGTCTCTTTTGCCAAGCGAACCATGGTTTTTCAGATACATAAAACAGGTGGGGTGCTAGCATAATTTCATTGTTTCTCTTGAAATCATTAGCCGTGTGTTTGCGATAAAGAGGAATCGGGAATCTGAGTCAGAATCAGAATCTGAATTAGAGCTTACTCAATGAGAAGTTTTATATTTACTTCTTGAAATGTTATAACCCAATAATCATGATATGATAACTAATAAATCCATAAAAGAAAGCAAGCTTATTGAATAATAGATAAATGATAATTAAATAAATGCATTAAAGAAGCTAAGCTTAATGAAAAAAGATAAGTGATTAAGAAACTAGATGAAAATTAAGGCTTGAATATTCTGGTTAATTGTTAACGATCCTTAAATGGTATAAATTGTATTAAAAAATCCCTGAAAGCTAAAAAAAGGTTTATTTAGACCGTATTAAATAATTTATAATACTGAAAGAACATATTAAAGAGTTAAGTACTTAAGTAGAAATCGTATTTCTTTGCTAGTAAATAAATTTCCAAAAATTTTATTGAAAAAATTAATTAAAGCAAAATATTATTAATTTAGAACCCTAATAACGCTTTAAACTTGTGATAATGAAAAGATATATTTAAATACTTTGGTAACAATCGTCGTTAATATCTAAACTTAAAGTTGCTTTTCAAAAGCATTAACTACTATTTATTTATATTTTTTATAAAAGTTCTGCTTGGCTACCGCACTTGTCGCACCCTTTTTCCGCTGTTGCTCTCTCTCTTCCTCTGCCTTATCGGAGTCGGAAATCGTTGCTTGCAGAATCAGATATCCATTAAAAAATGCGTTTTTAATGTTAATCAAAAGTGTATATATATTTTTTGTAATTCGTTGTATTTTGGGGCCGTTTAAGTATTGGTATCTGTATCTTTTTTCGAGTTTCTGCAGTGGCGGTGATCGCTCAAACGTGTCAGACATTAATGAGCCAACCGCCAAAGCCGAGCGTAACTGTGCTTTGTCTCGTTTTTTGGGGCCTCAGCGGGATGGGTTGGAACGGGATGGGATGAGCAGGGAGGCAGGCAGGCAGGTGGTTACAGGTGCAGCCATTGACTGGCTCTGCTCTCCTTTTGTTTGCCGCCCGCTTGCGGTTCGGCTCTCGTCGCTCCATCTCTTGGTTTTCCGCGCAACTGCAACGCTTCACTTGTGCCTGTGGTTGTTGTTTGTGTTGCAGTTCACTGAGTTGCGACTGCTCATAAGCTTCATTAACAAAAAACAAAAAATAGAAAAATAGAAAAAAAGTAAAAACAAGAAAGGAAGCTAACTTCGGCACGCCGAAGTTTATATACCCTTGCAGATAGAAATTCTATGACTAGGAATCCATACCATATAAATTAAATATATTTGTGTTAAAAAACAATGAAGTAATACCTGCTTTCATTTCATTCACCTATACATATTATATTTGCAGTTTTACATTCACAGATTTGCATTTTTCCTCTTCATCAAACGATCGTTTGTATGGCACCTATATGATATAGTCGTCCGATTTTTATGAAATTTGCCACAAAATTTAAGACTAATATAAAATGGCTACACCTCAAATTTGATGAAAATCTGTTGAAAACTGAAAAAGTTATAATTTTTAATTTTATTAATTTCTCGATCGTTCCTATGGGAGCTATATGATATAGTAGCCCGATTTTCATAAAATTTTATACAAAATTGTAGAGTATAGTAAAATGGCTGTATCTCAAATTTGATCCAATTCTATTGAAAACTAAAAATGTTAAAATTTTTTTTGTAAAAATTTTCCGATCATTCCTATGGCAGCTATATGATATAGTCGTCCGATCCGGCCCGTTCCGACATATATACGAGTGAGAGTATATTGAAGGCTAACTACAAAGTTTCATTCAGATAGCTTCAAAACTGAGAGACTAGTTTGCGTAGAAACGGACAGACGGACAGACGGACAGAAGGACAGACGGACAGACGGACAGACGGACATGGCTAGATCGACTCGGCTGTTGATCCTGATCAAGAATATATATACTTTATATGGTCGGAGGTGCCTCCTTCACTGCGTTGCAAACTTCTGACTGAAATTATAATACCCTGCAAGGGTATAAAAAAGACAGCGGCAGCAGACAACAAAAGCCAAGGCAAAGCTTCCAAAATGTCCGTCGATTCGGCTTTTTCCCCAAAAAAGCTATTATGCGATTATATTTTCCTGACCATTTTCCGTGCTGAATGTGCTGGAAAAATCGGTGGAGACAATCCTAGAGATATTAGCTTTGCATATAAAACAATATAACAACCTTTAAAAATAACATTAAAGATCAATCGAGGCATGTAAAACATGTAAACTTAACGCTCTTCTTAGAAATATGTGACTTATGTTAGCCATAAAAGTTGGTTATATCATTTAATTTCCATATCGTTGTAATATCTTGTAAACCTGTGTTGTTTTTTTTTATTGGTTTTTCCCTTATATTAATTTTATTATTCAATTAACTGAAGAATTCCATCTGCATATTAAATATTTTCTTTATACATATTTCTCATGCTTTCTTTTTCAATTAGACGATCAAATCGTTTGACACTTTCCACTGCTTTCTAGCGTGGGTTTTCTTTCGGTCAGAAAAGTGTCTGGTGGGTGTGGCAGAAAACATAAACAAGACATGAACAATTCGTGGGCGATATATACAGGAAAATGAAATTTCCTTTGATATACAAGAAAATAGGGTTAATTTATAATACATTAAACAAGTTATTGACTATATAAATACCTTGAAAAGTAACAGCTTCTTGCAAGAACTGTGAAAGAATGCAATTTACTTGAAGAATACTTATATGAGATAATGCTAAATAGCAACTAAACAATTTATAAATTGTATTAGATAACCACTGCCTACTGTCGGCAGTTTCCCCCTCGGTTTTTTATAATACAATTACACAGAATGACCCCCCTCGGTTGCTATTTTGTCCTGCCCTCCATGTCGTCGGGTGTTGTTTACATTTTCAAATTTAAATCAATTTTGTTTCTGATTGCGGTTTAAGTGGCAGTTCCAACGAATCGCGCTCCTCCCGTCCCCACAATTTTCCATTTTTCATTTTCATGTCCAGCCCCATCTCTTGTCTTTCTTTATGTTTATGGCTGCCATATGTGCTCGTATCTGTACTCTCTGAGTTTGTCTCTGTGTGGCATTCTCGTGTTGTCAAACAATGCTCGTATGTGGATGGATACTGTATCTGTATCTCGATAAATGTATCTTTTATTACCCATATACATATATTGTGAGACAGTTGTTTTGGGTGCAGCGCAAACAATTGTCGAAACGATCTCTCTCCGCCCCCCTTTCTAAACCCATGTATTTTTGATGGGATCTGCCCTGAAAACCTCCTCGTTCGCCCACAACACTTTTTCTGGCCTCTGTTTACATTTCACTGGGAATCAATATTATATTCAGGTTTCCTTCAATTGCTTTTAATAATTTATTTATTGGCAGCGAATGCCTGCAATTTATTTGCAATTGTTTTGCTGCAAGCTTTTTAATAGAATGTCATATTTATCTACATTTTGATTCAAATGACGAATGAATAGCTAATAGTTGATGGCTTTAAAAGTTTAGTCTTTTAATCCACAAAAATATAGACCAAATATAATGTTTAGAATAGAATTACCAAATAACACATAATTCACAATTCACACACTTTCTTTTAGAGGCAAACAATTCAAAGATTTATGAAACCAAATGATTTAGCACATTTCCAGAGATTAGATTAGGGCTTTAGAAAATCTTCCATAGAAACGTAAACAAACAACAAATACAAACTTTGCAGTACGAGCCCCCTAGACTAATATATTAACTATCTCCTGATATCTATTTGGCCAATTAAGTAGTAATATATCACTTGAGGGCACTTCACAGCAGATTTTTATAGCAAAATCGTTGCAATTTGTATTTAATCGAATATGGTTTGCCCTACAAAAGGAGACCAAGGGCGTAATTAACAATCGTTTCCTATATAATATCAATTTCACAACAAACAATTCACTTTTTGAAGTGGTTTTCACTTATCTCGCAATGGAACCAGAGGACACCTTCATATCCCCTACAAAGGCAAATATTTATTTTATTTGTTTGTATTTATATATTGAAATAGGGTTATAGAAGGGATTTGTGTTTCTAGGAGTTCAAATATTTACTATTATCTTAAATTAATATTTACTTTAACCTTTTACTTGTCAATAAGATTATCTTCCTTGACCTTGATTGAAGGTCATTTGCGATAACCTTTTCTTGAACATGGATTTATGACCAAGTGATTGATTATCGATTTTAGAATGTGAAATCTTAAGAATAGGAACTCTAAGATATAAGTTCACAAAGTAAAATGTAAACATTGATATTAGTTCTTATATTTTGTGTATATTTTTTATTTGTTCTTAAAATCACTTCCAGAATCTCCCATTAAAAGGTGAATTAATTTAAGAAGTGTAGTTTTTTATCACCTTTATTTACACACCAAAATGCTTGCTAATTTTATTAGAATCTATGATACATTTATAATCTAGACCTTGAGGTCCACGCCGGCATAACCCTTGGCATTGAGACCTGTGACCTGGAAGAGCGTTCCAGCTGGCTTTGGCTGATTAACCTTATCGGCTGTCGTCACATAGAGAATATCCAAGTTGGGACCTCCAAAGGCCACCGAGGTGATTTGCGTGGTGGGAATCTTGATCTCCAGCAGTAGCTTGCCAGTGCTGTTATTGTTTATGCGAAAGTAAATATTAAATATGCATCTTTTTGTGCAAATATACCGAGCTTGTATCTTACCTTGGGTTAACCTTGAAGACGGTGCCGCCATTGAAGGTGGCCACATAGATATTGCCCTCCGTGTCCACGGTCATGCCATCGGGGAACAAGGGACCATCGGGACGGAGTTTCCTCAGATCGAAGATGACCTTTCGATTGGAGATAGCTCCAGTGGTTTGGTCATAATCGTAGGCCTCCACCTCCTTGTTGTTGGTGTCAATGAAGTAGAACTTCTTGGCCTTAACGTCCCAGGCCAAACCATTGGAGATGCCCACAGCTTCCTTAAGGACCTTTGGCTGTCCTCCGGCCTGCCAGCTATAGAGTTCGCCCTTCCATTGGGTGAAGATGTCACCGCTGTCGGCCATGGTGCCGCCATAGAAGCGCCCATTAGGATCTGTTTTGGCATCATTGATGCGATTATCCTTGTGGTTGGGCTGCACCTCGAAGAGGGTCCTCACCACCTTGGCCACCGCCGAAATGCCATCCCATTGGACGACGACAGTGCGACGTGTGCATCCCACGGCAAATTCCTGGGGCTTGTTCGCAATGGGCAGGATGAAGGAGGCGAATACCTCACCCTGGATCTTGGCCTTGTACACTTTGTTTTGTTTGAAATCGTAGCGATTAATGCCGGCCGATTCCAGGTCAACATAGTAAAGACTCTGACGAGCCACATCCCAGTGGGGTCCCTCGCCCAGGGCGGCATAGGAATCTGGCACAGCTTCAACCTTGTATGACATCTGAAATTGAGAATGTAAAAGTCATTGTTGATAATTTTCTATTATTTTTGCACACTCAAAATCTGGCAATTATATAAACAAATCTGGCACCAGTCATTAAACCTTTGTTATTTAGTAATTAAGTTTCTATATAATTTAATATACAGTATGTACTCTCTCTCGCTGATTTTTTGCATACCTTTGAGATTATATATTTGTATATTGAGTGCGGGAAACCGTTGGACACTTGTTCGGTCAGCTAACTTTAGCAAACTGAATTGAATTGTGTTAGCTAAATGCCTTTTATAGACCCTTCTTCTCACACACCTACACATGGGGAATTGATAAGCCATATTTTAATTTGCTGTACAGGTGTTATCAACTTGTGACACCAATACATTGACATGAGCTAAATTAATTAGTTAAGTTGGACTTTTATAATCTATAATGGTTCAAAAAGATACTTGACTAAAGGAGAACTAGAAAATATCTATTACAAGTTGGAAAGTAGTTTAAAATTCGAGGAAAACTCAGCTGTTATGTTTCATAAATTCATTTCCTTATACCCTCTATCTGAATTGGTAATCTTATTTCGAAATTACTAGCTGAAAATAGATACCAGTACGCAATCTCTTCACACTTTTTATTGTCCGTATATATCTTGTATCTTTTGCTCATGAAAAGATACACAAGTGTAGATATAATTAAGGATTGCTTTGCTTTGACATTTCCCATTGGTAGCCATGGCAAGGCACTTAAAGAGCGTATGGAAATGAGTGATCATAAAACCAAGAGTTTAGGCATACCGATTATTTTCTTATCAATTTCCATAAATAACCAACTAAAACTCAAGTTGTAAGACACATACACAACACCCTCTTCCCCTTTATTTACTTTTTATTTGAGAGCGGGTCATTGATTAAACCTTTTGGCGGTGCTGTCATGGCAACTTGGTTGTGCCCTTCATGAGTTCCACTCGCAACCCCATCGGAGTGTCTCCTATGTGTGTTATGCCATATATTGAGATACACGGAAATTAAATCTAGTTCCAATTAAATGTAGAAACTTAATTTAAAGGCAATATTTTACGTAGCAAGACATTTTTGATATTATAAAAGTTACAAAAATAAAAAAAGATATGGGCAATTCTCCAGAAACATGCACCGCGGCCAAAAACTTAAAATTGCTTAAAAACGAGTATTTTTAACACGATTACATTAAAAATTGGTCAGGATGATCAAGACTAAGAGAATTTTTCATTTTCTAAAATAAGTTTCAAAAAATCGATGTCAAACACGCGCAAACGCAAATAATGTTGTTTTTATCAAAAAAAGGCATAAAAAATGGCATGTTTTGTTTTGATGCCCATCTCTTAAACCGAACCATTTTGCTTTAACTTTTGGTTTCTAATATGACATAAAAAACCCAAAGATTCAATATTAAGTGCAAAAGGACATATCCGATCACCAATATTCGTACAGTTTCAGTTTGAATTAGCGCTTTCCAAACTGTCGCGTGCGACCGGGACTAATTGAATTTAAAAAATAACTACTTAAAATTTTAAAATCAAACAAAATAGGTTAGTAAGATAATTCATTGCGTAATTCATTAAAATTTATTGTACTACAATTTTTCATCACGTTTCGCTAAAATCAGAGCTTAAACTGGTTTTTTTTTTTCAAATGTAACTTCTATTTTTGTCGCGTGCGAACGCATTACATTTTAGTGAATATCTTGAAAACAAACAAGGGTTCAAAATCGACCTTTGCACCAATTATAGTGCTAACCAAGAGCGATACGTTTTAATTTTTATAAAATTAAAATAAAGTCTTGGCACATGTGTTTTTTTAGTTTGAATGCGTACGAATGTCGCATTCGACACCAGAGAATTGCCCATATCATGTATTGGTATATAGTACATAAATTATACATCTTTTTAGTTAACATTCCAACCGAATGATCTTTAACAAATTCGCTGTTATATACTAACCTGTCTCAGAATTCGAACTTGGGAATTTTTAAGCGCACTCATTGTAAGAGTTTCGGTTACTTTTAATGGATACAGAATAATATTTATTTCCCTAACTTACATTTATAATTTCTATACATAAATATCCAAATATAAGGTTATTCTTATATGTATCTAAAAATCTTAATTAAAACCTTAGAAATAAGCATTCTTTTTAGCCTGGTTTTTTCTCAGTGCATTTGTTTGCGGGTGTATGGTTGTTGTCTCGACTCCTTGCCGAGTAATTAAGCAGCCAGAGCGAGATAGGGAGCAACAAATAGAGAGAGATAGACAGAGAGTGAGGCATGTAGACCCCGGGCAGAGATAAGAAAGGCCGTCCACTTGGACAGTGGGTCACTCGAGCGTTGTGGTTGTCTCCACCGCTTTGGTCTTTTACTGTACTTGTCCGAGGCGGTTTTTCCTCTCCTTCATATATGGCTCTGCAACATCAACACCAATGGCAACAGCCATAATAAAAACTAATGAGTTGTTATACCGGGTGTACTATCAGCTAAAAGGGTATACTAGATTCGGGTAGATCTTTTGGAACATGAATATGGAAAAACTTTTTTTTATATTAACTTAAAGTCAAGTGAAAAACATGATTGATATTGATCATATTTAAAAAGAATTACGATATTTTAATACCAAAATACAATATGTATCTTTATTGTTATTAAAATAATAAAGTAATTCCTTGGATATCCATCTTAATGCTTCAGGAAAAAGATCCTTCAGAAGAATACATTTTAATGTTACATAAACACAATATTATTGGAAATATATTCCATTATAATGGAATCGGAAATCAATAAAGCAACATAAAAATAGATGGATTTTATCTTCAGCCATATTTTTACCTAATTAATTTACCTAAAAATAGCGTTAATTTGTGATAAAAGTACCAAGTATCTTCTAGTCGGTTCATAATTTTCCAACTTAATGTCCAATGTTGGTGCTGCATTTGTTGCTTTCTGGTGTCTGATGTCTGCTGTTGTTGTGTCTTTGGCCCAGTGCAACACCCTTTGCCACACTTTACACGCTTGCATTCTTTTGATTTCTTTATTTCTTTTGTACTCCTCGTGTGGAGTTCCTTCTTAATTATCTGTAATTGATTACATCTAAGGCGGGCGCCCTAAGAGGTGAATCTTGTTTACCTACAAATTAAACGCACCGAATACAAACGGACTGCGTAAACAAATAAAAACATGCTGCTGTTTCGTGGCTTTAGTCTTAAAAACCTTGATGATGGAATCCTCAAAAAAAAAACAAGAACCCAAAGATGATGATGCAGCAAATGTGCATAGTGTTTATTGATATATTATATGTGCTCCTAAAGGAAAATTATATTAAGGGGTTTTAGAGTCTTTTATAGCTAGTAGCTTTTATGCATTTTAAATATAATAAAATAAGGTAATGATTAGAATTTTTAATCTCAAAATACATTTTTTTTAAAGAAGTTTACTAATGATTTAAATATTTTTGTAAATAATATGGAATATCATTCATATTTTATGGCTTTACAGAAATATTTTAATTACTAGTACCAATAAATAAAATATTTTCTCAATAATAAAAAGTTATATTCTTTATCTGAGGTTTAGGTAGAATTTAAATATTTAACTTCCTCTTTAATTAGTTTGTTTTATTTCTGCTAAAATATTTCAAATATTTATGACAAATTTCTTATCAATAAATGAATTTTCTTTCAAGTAAAAATTCCACAGAAAAGAGCTACATTATTTGCAACATCAGATTATAAAGACTAAAGAGGCTTATAACCCCGACTCTTAATACTCTTCACAAATCTTCTTACTCTCCATTTCAAACCGCTCTCTCTTTATTCAGCTCGCTGACTAAAAATCACTCACTCAAAATTATAAACAAGGAAAAAATTTATAAACAGGAAAACAATAGTTTTTGTTTTGTTTTCATTGTGCATTTTAAAGTTTTATTAACTTTGCAGTGTGTTTCGAATAATTTGTGATAGTTTTTAATATTTCAAAAAGTAAAAATTGATAAAAGCCTATCTTAAAGCAGCAGTAACTCAAAGTTTCTTTTTTGTCTTTTCCACTCAGTCGCTCATATGACTCATGACAGTCGAGCGCTAGCAGCTGCGAGGGCTAGCAGTTAGCGGCTAGCGAGTTTCACTCGATTCTCGCTCTTTCCAGGCAGACATTCCTCTCATTTCTCTTCTCATTCAGCGAGAGTGAGAGTAGTTTAGCTTGTTTCAAGCCAAATCTAGCACATTTGAAAATAGCCAAAAAATATTGCTCATATAAATTCTGGTGATAATTGCAAATTTGCAAAATTTGCGAATAGTAAAAAATATGAAATACAGGAGTTTGTTTTTATTTGTTAATGGTTTCATGCCTTTCTTATTATTTTAATTATATGAAAATCTGACTACTAACTCGTATACATAGCTGCCATTAGAGCGATTGGAGTGAATATAAAACTGCAACTATAAAACTAAAAATATATTATGTAATATGAAGGGAATGTGGATATTATATCGTTGCTTTTCAACATTGTATATTTATTTTATTTGATATTTTAGTCCTAAAATATAGTTAGTTTGTAAGATTTTTAAATATTATACTAAATTGATCAAAGTTTATTTATTATATCATAAGGGCTGTTTATATCTTCCCTTATTCCTTCTTCTTATTTGACAAAAATGAATTGATTTTTAATGATCAAATTTAAAATTTAGCCTGCTGAAGTTTGGTTCCTCTCTTAGTTTAAGTTTATATTTGGCCAAAAATCTAGCTATTTCGTTCGATCCCAATCTGGCAACACTGTTCAGCGCTACACAGCTCTCTCTTGCAGCTCGTTTCTGTTCCACTCGCTGTGGCTTTATTTGCCGTTAGTTGTTAAACAATTGCAGAGACGCGTACAACGCGATAACGCTTTGTGGTCTTGTACATTTTTTTCGTCGTACTAACTACTCTCGAACTGTATCTGCGAGATACACGCTTCTAAGTTGTGCCTAGCACACACGTGTTTCAATATTTTGTAAGCAAACATATAAATACAGAGTGCTCTGGCGAAGGGCAGCCCAAACAAAGAGAGAGGGGATTCTGCGTCATCTGATCGCTATATCTCGGGATCTCTGAATCACTACCCTCAAAACACAACAACAACAAACAACCTTCGAGTGCGGGTGCTATAAGTGTGTGTCTCGGCTGTGAAGACGCGCTTCGATCGCGTTCTACATTTTAAAATCCGGAATAAATTAAACACGTTCC